CAAAACTAAAAATATACCTTCTACCAAAACACAAAATTGGCAAAGGTTTTAGAGTAAGAAACACAGCCATTACCACAAATATGAGCCTCGTTTGTTATGGATAATTAAGATTCAAATTACTCATTTCAAAATATTTTAATAAAAGGGATTAGAGAATGCTTGAGACTTTTCTATATTCCCATAAAAAATGTTTACTCCAACCAATAATGAAAGTTACATGATGAGCTTCCTAAACTGAAGATGGGGAGAGAGACTAAATTATGAATAGGATGCTTGCGTGACAGGACGGTTGGCCCCGACACCTGGTTTCCTGGTGTGGGCAGGTCTGTGCTGCACACATGCCTGGAGTCAGAGGGGTTGTAAGCAATTACTAACTTTACTCTGGTGGCTATGTTAATATGCCCAAATCATAGCTACACTGACTTTTCAGATTTTGACCTTATTTTGGAAGCCCAGATTAAAGAAATTTCTCAACATATCCAAAGGGGGAGGCAGGAAAGGAGAAGAAAACATTTGACAAAATTAGAAATGTACAAAATGTACAAAATTTGAATCTAAGCATAGTTCTTTGATCTCAATGCATTATCCTGTACTTTCATTTACTAAATGTTGTTCTAAAAAAAAAACTATATAAATTAAGGATGAATATGAATATTCTTCCCATCTTCTAAGATCCTAGCAGTCACTCTATTGGAGTAGAAAAATCTACCAATGTGATGGCATGATTTTTATTTAATATGAAAGGATCAAAAAAACTATCAAAACAATAGAGGCAGATCCAAGACTGAACTCTCTCAAGCACCATCTGTTTAATCCGATATAATCACTGAGAAGGCATGCTTTCCCAAAGAACTGAGGAAGAAGCTATAAGGTACCCTTCCACCTAAAAAGATTTTGCCCCAATAATAGGTTCATCCTTTTCTCAGAAAGGATGGCTAAGACATTTAATTTTAATAATCAATTATAGCCTAGTACGTCTTTGTATATTACTTTCTGGACATAATATATCTGATAAGTTCACTAAAATTTTGTTTCTTTTAGATACTGGTATGGCTGGGTATAGGTGTAGAGTAGGTACAGTTGGCCTCTTCGAGGAGGAGGGGTAAGCAAAATTTTTTCTGTAAAGGGTCAGACAGTAAATATTTTAGACTTTGTAGGCCACAGTGTTGTGTGTACTGTTGTAACTACTGAACTCTGCCATCACTGTAGCTCCAAAACCACCAGACAAAAAGCGAATGGGCATCGTTGTGTTCTAATAAAACTTTGTTCAGGGGCGCCTGGGTGGCTCAGTCGTTAAGCGTCTGCCTTCGGCTCGGGTCATGATCCTGGGGTCCTGGGGTCAAGCCCTGCATGGGCTCCCTGCTCAGCGGGAAGCCTGCTTCTCCCTCTCCCACTCCCCCTGCTTGTGTTCCCTCTCTCACTGTCTTTCTCGGTCAAATAAATAAAATCTTTAAAACAACAACAACAACAACAAACTTTGTTTATAGTTTGGAAGTTTGGCCTGTGGGCCACAGTTTGCTGACCTCTGTCTTACAGTATTACTCTGGCTTTTTTTTATTTTTCATGCTTTGGAGATTTTGCTCATTCTCTGACAGTTATCAAAAGTATTTATCAAAGATGAAGAATTTCAGCCTTGACTTCATCATAAAAGGATTTGATAGTGGTGATATTTAGGGGGTGTACCCTTACTCTGGCTACTTCACAAGATTAAGAGTCAAACAAATTTGAATCAAATCTAACCAAATCAGAAAATCCTGGGTCAATTTTAAAGCAACACATGGTGTACTATATTATTAATAATTCCTTGTTTATTACAGTGCATAAATCTGAATAGCTACACAGTATAAATATATCCAACCTCTCTAACTGAACTTCCATAATTTCATTCCCTTTTAAAATCATTTCTCCTATTTCATTCCATATACAATCTATTAACTCAAAGCTTTGGGATTACCTGCTACAACAGATTGCATTGTGATGTTTAGCCCTATCAACTAAAACAGGGTCTATGTCTATTACTTAAAATATCCTATATATTTTTGTTCCTTGGGAGCACAGTAGCCCTTTAATCCCGTACTACAAGGATAGATTGCAATATAAAAATATGTGAAGTGGAGAGATAGAATTTAAATTATATTGCACACCTCACTTCACACTCCCACCCTAATCCAACCCCAGACCATTGTGTTCACTCTTGGAAAGAATGGAAGAAACGTTGGACAATAAATACAAAAGATAGTTTTCCATATATTAAAGTCAGCTCCCCATATGAGTCTCCTCCTTCCCAATCCTGGTCCCCAGGCAGCTCTGAAGTAGAACTTTTTATGGTTCCCAGGGTATAGAGATACATAGGACTTGGGGCAGGTCCCAGCTAAAAAACAGGGAAAGAAATATTTGCTCTTCTTAATTATTCCCAGTATAATTAATTTTTGAATATTCCTAAAGTATATTTTATATATTTGTATCTAGAACCAGCTTGATTTAAAGTTCTTCTTGACATTGTTAAGGAAATTAAAATATATGAAGTCATTTTGGTAGCAATTTGGTCTGACTGCAGTCAAGTGGGAAATCTTTTAAATGAAAACAGCTCCTCTATGCCTGGGTTTAAATGTGAGTCAAAGGTGGCAAGTAAGAACAAACAGTTCTTCCTAAACTGCTCTACAAAGTCAAAATGCCTTGTGAAAATAATACTGTTCACCCACCACTGCACTGGTAAAGAGCAATGTGTTATTTTTGGTAAGAATTATATCAACTCATTGTGACACATCCCACATGAGCAGTAGATCTGATATGTATCAGACTTTTTTTTGTTTTTTAAGAAAAATGATTAAATAAAATTAATTGATGCAGTTCCTTTGATGGACAAAATGTTAAACATGAAGCCCATACAAGGGGGATCTTGGTAGTTATAAGGTTAGCAGTGTGATAATGATATTGTATCTAGCGTAGAAAGGGGAAAAAAATGAGTGGAAAATAGGAAGAGAGCCAGGCTACTTCTAGTCCTTTCTGAGTCATTCCTTTGGTATGTGTGTGGGTTTCTTTCTTTCTTTTTTTTAATGTTATATTACTGTGTTAAAGTACGTTCAAATTCAAATAAAACCTCTCAATAGGTATTTCTAATAGGTCTACTTTTCATCTGGCCATCAAAATTGAAATTTTAAAAGCAGACTCTGACTATTCAAAGAGGACCAACTAAAAAATTACTAATTCCATATAATTTGAAAGGAAAATTCAGGCATTACCCCTCCATGTTAAGCCAAGTAAGTGTGACAACTATCAGTTCCGTCCTAAGGAAAGCTTTTCCAGAAGCCTTAAAACCATGTGAGTCTTCTTTCTTCCAAAGCTGGGAGGCAGTTCTGAAGTAGAGGAAATCTTTATATCTCTATCCTCTAGGAGCCATAAAGAATAGTAGCAAGTTCCTATCTGAAAGCAGAAAATTTTGCTTTTTCTTAATATAATAAAAATAGTCTATAATTACTGAATTGAGATAAAAGAAGATAAACAACATGACTTTCTGATACTGTGCTCCTAAGAACTTCCTAGATCATAATATTTATGTTGTAGTATGCCAAATTAAACATAAGTTACTAAGGTTAAAAGATGAAAAGTGTATAGAAGGAAAAGATCCTAAATTAAATTGCTCTAGTTTCAAAAATACCTAAAATCACAGCTTGGTAAGTGGGTTTTTCCAAAAGAATTGAAGCTCCATATTAAAATAGCACAGTGAAATAAGACAGTCCATAGATGTGAAAATAGGTACTAAAATTCTAAACCTTCCCCCTCTTCTCAGTTGCTAACAATAACCTTTACAAGGTAATTCAGCTTTAGTTTTCTGAGTTTTGAGTTTCTATATCCTATAAGTTTTTAGTCAGAAAACTAAAGAACCAAGAGATTCAGTCAAGCATTTGAAGAAACCAAATTCCAAAAATGAAGTTAAATTCAGACAATGTGAAATACAAAACTGGAAATACTCCTTAAGAATATATAATACTTGTTTCTGTCATCAGTGGTGGCAGAAAGTTTGAGCTTGTTTGTTTTCAAAGCACACATACTTCATGACTACATGAAAAGAAATTGAACCACGGGCACATATTTATAAAATTTATCAAAAGGCATTATTATTACTGTCTGTCCTCCATGGCTCAAAGGAGGTTTTAGGGGTCAAAGAAAATCCTTTTTTATTCATTTTGGTACTTACAACAGCTATTTAAATATCATGATTATTGCACACTTAGAGGATAATCTAGTTGTGTAAAATTACTTTTGCTTCTTCTCATCCCATCTACTTTGCTCCCTCCCAGTCTGCACATGAGAAAGAGAAGCCAAGTTTAAGCCACAGAACATGTCAGCTACTGTCCAAAGAGGTTTAGTAGTCCAGCCTTTCACAGTCCTCATTTTGTCCGGAAGATAGCAAGAACCCAGAGGGGAAGAATGGTGCGGGAGACAGAGTGTGTGAATGAGTGTGTGAGTGTGCCTACATGGTGTAGAGAGAGGGAGAAGGAAAGCATTATATTCTTAGAAGACACAGAGAAATATTAGCAACATGATTTCTACACATCAGTGTTAACAAGAGCCTATATGGTATTTACTTTCAACTGGGTCAGACATAAAACTAACAGAGTTGTAAATTATATACCAGAGATAATCAGTTATAGATTTAGAAAGTAGAAAAATCATACTGCATGTCACCTTCACTAGTATTTATTAAACATATTTCTTAAGCAAACTATAAATAGTAGCTTTATTTTAAAAGGTATAAAAATTAAACAGTTAAAATCTGGACAGTTTAAAAGACATTTATTAAATAACCATATTAGTATGAAAATGTGCTTTAAAGGTTAAGAGATTTAGGATTCAAAACTTTGACAAGTGCGCAAATCAAAATATAACTTTTCTGTGAGTTTTTGGACAGTGCAGAAAAAAAATCTAGGCTAATTACAGTGGTGATCAGTAAAACCCAATTAAGAACAGTTATACCATAGCAAACAGAAATGAATTACCTCGTCTTCGCCCATAACTCCTTGCTGCATGTAAACAAAGGACAAATTGTAAAATGTCAGAACTAAAAACAAGCCCACCCATACAAATACTTGTGATATGAAAAGCTAAGTGGGCATCTGGTAATCAGTGCTACTTTGTTTTAAGAGCTAGGACAATGTCACTGTATAATATCTGTATGGTGTTTTACCATTCACAAAGCACTTTTATTATATATATATTCTGAACTGTACAAAAAATGAAATGAACAGGAAATAAACCATTTATTCTCATTCATGCTCAAATTCATGAATAAGTATTTCTTTCATCTTATCAGGATAGTAATGTTAACACCTTACAGTTAAATAGCATCCCAAATAATGAATGGAAAAACCTGAATTAAATCCTTATTTTCCTAATTATAAAGAGTGATACAGCAGATACAGTCCAACAAATAGCTATTCAAACCCAATTCACATTATACCAAGCCTTGTGTGAAGAAAGTATTGGCAGACACAGAAGAATGAAAAGATATAACAATGTTAAACTGAGACTCTGAAGCCTATAGAGCTTAGATAGAAGGTAAAGAACTTAATCCATGTTCAAACTTGCTTAACTGAAGAAATGACTAATGATACACTATAGCTAACAATGCTTTCAATCCTTCTGGTACATTTTATAATCTCTAAGTGTTTATGTCTCTATCTCTGGCGTAAGAGGGATTCAGACACAAATTATTATTAGCATCATCATAGAATAGCACATTGGTTCAATACTGTAAAAGTATAAAGCAGAAAGGTATTTCAATCTACATTACTAGAAGTTTACATAATTCCTTAGGGGAAAAAATACTGCAATTTATTCTCCATAAGAAATTGCCAGTTTGATAAAATCCACAACATATTTTTAAATAACTCCTCCCCCCAAAATCTGAGTATACAATGAGTATTTTTACCCTGGAATTAATATATGAAATCAAAGCAGTAGACCAAAACAAAAAATGACTGTTAAAATCAAGATTTTAACAAGTTTCATGAATTTTTTAGGCCTGGGAAACTTTCTGAATAAATCTCAAATCAAAATATATATTGAAAGTCATCAGGAATATAGTTTCCTCCAAAGTACAAAGCAAAGATCAAAAGAAAATGTTTCACATCACATCATTAACTGCATTCTATTACAGAAGTTTTACAAAATATAAGGCTTTAACATAAAGAAGTATGTCCACAGTTGAGAATAATATAGCATTAATTCCCCTATAGTAACAATGGGAAAAACAAACTTGTCAACCCTTAGTCATTTACACTTCAAGAAGTCAGTCAATAAATACAATGCTTACACTGGAGTCTTTTATAAAAAAAAAACAAACTTCATTTGTATCTCTGCCTCTCTATTGTCTTTATTTAGCTAGAACTACTGTACATTTAACCTTTTTGGTAGCTCCAATTACCTCACAGCCTAGCAGACTGACTGACCTGTACATTAGCTTATATGTAAACTTACCTGTGTGTTTGTGTGTATATATATAGCTTATATGTACATTACCTGTATATATTATATATAGCTTACCTGACCTATATATTAGTTTAGGGTAAGGGTAGGGGTGGAAGTAACATTTTTGCTGTGGAAGTCTCCCAAGACTTAAAAAAGCCTTAAAAAAATCAGGGTCTCAAAGAGATGGGAGACTTACTGTGGAAAATCTAAGAGCAATTTTAAAAGAGCTAACAAGAACAGACCACGGAGGAATCAATTCACTGAAGTTTTGATAGTTGTATTAAGTATGGAAATGGCCAATAGGCCCCAAACAGTCACAACACCAATCTTAGGAGTTAGACTTCCTACTTATCTCTAGGCATGATCTAAATGGTATTAATCCAGTATAAATTTGCTTTATGGGATTTCATTCATGGGTGTACAAGGTGGATCATTTATAAAGCAAATAAAACTATTCTCATCAAGTTTAAAGTCAAAGTATGAATTATACTGAAGTAATAACACGACAAATAATTCTTGACCTACTGAGAAAATTAAAGACATCATAACCAGTTTATATTCTTAGCCGTTATATTCTTTGCTGAGGTTATTCAATACTAAAATAGTCAAAATATGTACAAATGTTCATAACATCTTAGGTTTCATCTCATTCCTAGACTTGAACACATTATTTAGAAAATTTCTCCAACTATCTCATACCTGAGGAATTTTAGAATCCTGTAAAGAGCTATTCCACTTATTTTTTGGACAACTCTCAAATTCCAAATCTCTACATTACCAAAAATAGAACTGACTGCAGATGAAGCTAAACCATGTGAAACATTTCCCATCCCCTGTCATGGAAATAACCAATCTGCTACCATCACACTAAACAATGGTCTGTGTACTCACTTTCCTACCAGTGTTCTTATGGGAATTTCTGGGGTATGTTCCTCTATAACTCTGATTCAGAATTATGAAAAGCCCCCAGTAAGAAAATCATTAAATTATTATTCGTTATGTTTTAATTAAAGAAGACTTCTTTAAACATATGCCCCTCCAAACTCATTTAGAATATGACTTAGAAAAAAAGGGAGCAATTTTTGTATAAAAACTATCTAGAATATTAAATTTCAGGTACATAAGTTTTATAAAGCATTATAAAAAAGTACAACTCATTCAAAAGTAAGGAATTGGCTATTTAACATACATATGTAAATATATATGTGTATACATGTATATGCATGTATGTTAGATTATATATATATTTTTTTCATGGAGATAATAAGGTTGTGAAAAAAGACCTTTTCTATACAAGTGACTTTACAATTAATTTGGTCCTGGGTGATCAATAATCTTATTTAGGTTCTAACCCATAAAAAAGAAATAGGAGGATTCTGACATTCATTTTGGTGTCTTTGTGCCTTTATATATTGGCTCTTAGCTACAGCTGTGGTACATGAATTACTGCAGCTGGAGGAAGAGATGGGTAAACATACTAAATTAGCTGGAAATACTTAGGTTAAAGTTCTCTTGGTGTGAAACTAAAAAAATTCTTATTTCTTGCTCTAAGAAGCCAAAGCCAGGGAGAGAAATATACCCCCAAATCAGAATCCTTTTCAAGATCCAAAATAAATCTGTTATCTACTCCACTTCCATCAGCATAAAAAAGAACTGATTATGTACTCAAGTTTCCTATTTTCATGACTTAATACAGTACATTTAGAATATCTGCCCTCAGAAACACAATTCCATTACTGAGTTAATTTTCTTAGTTAAAAGATAAATATAACTTCTCTCCTCCCAAAAAGTAGAGCAAGCTCTTGATTACAAACATGGCTGCAAGTGGTTAATCACAGCAAATTTAAATTTCAAATTAGTTTGCATCACCCCATACTTCTGCTATTTGTTCTCCTTTTGAAAAGCCATATGTTCTAATAAAGATATAAGCTATTTTTCCTTGGGAGAGGGGTGAGAGGAACACAACATGATCCAAATAGAAACAAATACTTGAATGATACATCATTCTGAATTAGTTCTCACCACTACGAAAACAGGGTGGCTCTGTTTTATTTCGTTCTTTCCTACTGACAATAAAATATGTCAGATTTATACACTTACAAATATAAACATTCAGGCTGTCAATCTAATTTCAGACAGTATTTAACTTTTGTTTTTTAGACAATCTACTCATTCCTATATAATGTGACTTCCCTGAAGTGCTTCCGGATGTTAAACTTGGACTCTTCTACAATATTATTCAATAGTGGTGGTCTCCACCAGTCAATTCAACTTGATTTCTAGTTAGATTGAGGGACATGGTGTGTTCAGAAACAGGAGCCTACTTGCAGTCATATTTCTATGGCATTTTTTATTGGTTTTTTTTTTTTGTTTTTCTTTAATCTATACAACTTCCCGAGACACATAGATGTGGGATTATACCTCTTTTTCTCAGAGTTAACAGAGGCTCAAAGGATTTGCCAGAGATATTTCACAGTTTTATCTTGTCTGACCAACTTCCTGACCTTTACCCCATTCCCTGTTCATTTCTTAAAGGAATATTTCAAAGTTTAACTATAATGTCAATTGACCAGGAAGGTAGAATCATGAAAGCTTTACAACATATGCCTTATCTGCATAACAACTGTAATACTATTTATGTATTATTTTTTAGTAAATGGGCTCAAGCCTGGCACCTAGTAATAGCCTAGTAACATCACAGATTTCTGCCAGTTCTGTGTTTTCTAAGTAGTCATGCATTTATTTTAATACGTATTTGTGTACCACTAAAGTCATCTTGGGTACCACAAGGGACATGCACACCATACTTTAGGAAACACTGCCCAAGAGGGTCATTTTGCTTTTGACCCAAATTTTCTTCCTATTATAGTTCCTTCCAAATGGTTCTGGTTTGGCTTCCTGCAATAACATAAAACAAACCTTCTTTGGTCACTATACATAACTTCCTTCAAATACTTGAAAACACTGGTTACATCTTCTTTTAATTTTATATTCTCCAACACTTTCATCTATTCAGAGGACATGAATGTATTCTTTCAAAGTCATTTTGTCACCTTTCATCATCACCCATTGCCACAGCTAACTCTTTTCTTATAGGAACTGTTCTAAACACTTTACATGAATGAATTCCCTCACTTCTCAAAACAATCCCCGAGGCGGGCAGCATTTTATCTACTTTTGACATAAAGAACCTGAGTCAAGTTGAAGTTAGGTAAACTGTCCAAGTCACACAGAAAGAGCAAAGTTGGGTTTAAACCCAGATAATCTAGCTCCAGAGTCTGTGGTACCAACTATTGTTTTTTCTTTTTTTAAGTTCAATTACCCAACATATAGTACATCTTTAGTTTTTGATGTAGTGTTCAATGATTCATTAGTTGTGTATAACACCCAGTGCTTATCAGATCACGTGCCCAACTACTGTTAACTATTGCTAAACCACCACAAAAAAATACTGATGTATAATTTATTACCAAATATTGATTTTCAAAGTCAATAATATTAGCTATGCTTGCTGGTTAAATAATACAACTTACTTAATCAATTGTTAACAGTGAGTTTAAATCTGTGATATACTAAAAAATAATAATTTAAAAAGTCTATGTATTGAGATGCTATAATTTCTTTCATCAATAATATTTAATAATAACTTAGTACAGGCAAAGGCTTGGTATTGATATCACTTAATTCCCACATTTCCTAGGGAGACAATATGCTATGAATATAGTTAAATTACAAGAATTAAAAGCAGCTCAAGGAAAATTTCCCCTACTTTTTATTGCCATTTGCCTACTTCTCTCTTCAATACCTTAGATGTCTATAAAACAATTACTTAAATCCTTAATATTGAAATACCTCCTTACCCTATAAATATACCCAATTTCCTAATTCCTGCTTCTCCCTTAACAATGATCCCAAATGAGCAGAATAATTTTTCTTCTCTTGGATCAAATTGTCCTTACTGACCTAAACACATTTTGATGTCCTAGTTTCATTATCTTTTCTCTCCCCTAGTGCCTTGCCAGAAAAAGTTCAGAATATCCAGTAGAGCTTACTGTATCGAGTATGTAATGTGGCCCTAGAGTGGCAGGCTATGAAGAGTGCTCACATAATGAAAAAGCAGATTTGTCCAAGATTCAACTCCTGACTAAAATAAAATATTCTTGTATCTACTAAGTGATGAAACACTTCTAACCTAACATCTAGGCTATTTATCAAGGCTTTAGGTGACTGATGAAATCAATTAATTTACTAATATTTAGTGTAACCATGGGGCACCTTGGTTAGGTGTCTGACTCTTGGTTTTAGCTCAGGTCATGATCTCAGGGTCCTGGGATGAGCCCTGCATGGGGCTCCTGCTCAGTAGGGAGTCTGCTTGTCCCTCTCTCTCTTCCCCTCACCCCCCAGCTCATGCTCTCTCTCTCAAATAAATAAAATCTTTAAAAAAATAGTAATATTTAGTGTAGCTGAAAGTGTAAGTTGTAAAAACAGTGCAGCTCCTAAGTTCTTTGCTCACATATAACTGATGTATTCCACTGTGATTACAATATACTTCTGAATTGCCCTAGTGTACTATGCATAAAGAAATCTCAGAACACCTGTGAATGATCTAACATACTGTCCCATACAGTACCTTCCTTCAAATGGATCTTAACAGAGTATGAGAAATATACACATTCTATTTTTCTACTGAATTGCTTTTTTTAGAAGTTATAATAGAAATGTGAATGATTTTTATTACATAGAATGTCCCAAAAGAAAATTATTTAAGGAAGTCAGGGTAAATATATAGTTTATTGTTACCTAAACACATCATTATTTTATAAATCACGTCATGAAGATAAAAATTATGATCTATTTTCAGTTTGTAAACTCAATTTCAACACTGTAAGTTTTAGTAACAGATTTAGAGTTCAGAGACTAGCTACTGAAATGGCATTTTTTTTTTTTTTTAATTCCATGGTAGAAAAAAAGTTGACTGAAGCAGCCCTGGAATGCGATTTCTAGTACCTGTCTGGTCAAAGTCCTACATGTAAGCACTATAATTCGCTGAATTCATGCATGTGGCCTGCTGGACCGTTGTAAGGTCTAGCCCAGATGTAGCCTCAGCCTAGAGAGCACAGTCAGGCCCCAGGGTGAGAACCTTGACAATTCAACCTCTAACCATCCTTCAAGATCCTAACAGATAACCCAGTGCCTAGACAAAGCTGGCACGTGGTGGGCAACTCAATATATAACAATCCAATGTTAAATGAACCAATCAATCACATCACCAGACACTTCGCTTCTTCAGTTTTTCTCTCATTCCAAAATCCTATTTCCCTTGACAATCTCCCAGGTGGCCTGGACTTTATTCCCACTTTTCTGTCACTACAGTCTTTACTTGGTATTAGTTCACATGGTCGAGCTTTATACTCGCTTTTTTTAGACTTTGTTCCCCAACTTCACTGCCATCTGCTCTTAACAAAGCTTTAGTTAAAATAGAAGAGCCAAGCCATTCTAATTATATAATTATGTATTTTAAAGTAAGTACTATCTCTACTCTTCCTTCTTCCTACTTCCCTCTCTTCGTCCACCCTCTGATTTAAAAATACCTTTGTGAAGGGTATTTTCATCCTCCACGTCTACTCCCACAGTCACGGATGTGCTAAGTACTGCCACTCTGAATACAATGTTTGTCCAACAGAAAGAAAACAAACTTTAATGAAAGTTTATTTATCCTGTTTCTAACTCTGGTGAAGTTCACTGTGAAACTTCCTAGTCAGAATAAATTAAGTTAGTGTGAGCACCACATTTATATAGAATCACTAGTATATTCATTCCCTGGTTAACATAAGCACAAGTACTATACTAAGTAACAAGTTCTATGCACTTTGCAAATATCATCTCATTTAATTCTCATAATAAACCTTGAGATTGTTATTCCCATTTCATAGATGGTAAACTAAGCCTCACAGAAATTACTGCACAAGGTCTCACCATAAACTAGAAAGCCAGTATTCAAACTCAGGACTCTCTCCAAAGTCTGCGATCAATGAATTAAATCACACTGTCACAAATACACTACAATGACTGCTTTGACAGCCAGAATATATTCAAACTTGTAATTCTGCTTTCTGTACAGAAGTTGTAGTTTTATTTTTATACTTATAAAATAATTAACTTCTGTGTATGGGGAAGGTAAAGAAAACCATGTACTCAATCATATTTATTTATATGAGTCAAATTGGAAACGTAAAATGTTTTTTTAAAACTTACCATTTAACATCAACAGATTATCAGTTCCTGGATGTGGATAGCTCAATCGACCTTTAAAAAGACAGGAAAGGTAAATTTGAAGATTATGGAGCTACTTGAAAAGCAAAAAAAGGGAAGAGGGATAGGGAGGAAATTACCGAACATGGTATATTTTTTAAATTAAAAAAAAATTTCTTAACTCAAAACATATTAACCAAAATCATCTTTGAAATTTGAAAGCAAGACACAAAACAGCTAACCTTAGTTCCCAGATCATAAGGTAAGAGCACAATGTGACTTAGGAGCAATGCCTGGAGAATAAAGCCTATTTGTTTTTTGAGATGTAAAAATAATGTAGGTATCCTGGTCCTCCAAACTTAAAATAGGATGTAAACATTTTTTAGTATTTTCAAAACTGTTTATAATTCTCTCCACAGCTTTCTTTTTCCAAAAATAAAATCTGAAGAAAAGGAATTTATATTCCTAACCAAAATACAACCAGAATATTAAAATAAAAAATGAGTACCAAATCTCATCACAACTTGCCACTTAATTCAATATGATTTTATATATAGTTGTATTTAAATAAGGATGTTTGATGAAAACGTCTTCAACATATTATTACAAGTGATATTGCAAATTTAACCTGTTCAAAGTTTACAAGCGATCTAAAAATAAAAAAAGGAAAATATTAAAGCTTAGGAGCATAGTAGCCTAGTATTTCCTTTGAGCCATTCTTCATTTAAGAGTTTTGCACTTAATACATGCAGAAGGGACAGCAGTACTGCAGACTGCTGGGGAAAAGAAGAAAAAGCATGTCTGAACATACTGTGAGGCTCATTCAGCATTTCTACATCATAACGCTTGTTTGACTACCTGCCAACATCGAGGATGATCATTGTTTTTAGCCCGTTAAAATAGAGGATCTTCCTCTAATGCCTGAATCTCTGATGGACTATTAGAAAGGTTCATTAAAATCTATTGAGAAAACGACTAAAATTAAATGTCTGTGCGATAGAACATCAGCAGCTTTCAGCACAGCCCTTTAAAGACTCTGTGACAGCTTGGGATGCGCTGCCACCAGAATAGTGACCAATAAATATCCGAATGAATCTGACATGATTAATAAGGAATACAGATTAACTGCATCTATCTCGACCACCTCAGCAACTGTTAATACCCCGTATTACACCCAAACATTCCATACAAAACACAGATTGTTGGGTTTTAATTATGAAGCTAAAGAATTCAATCATCTGCCAATGAAGGAAATAATCCAATTCTGACATTAAAATATATATATATTTGAGCTATAGATTTATACATATACTAATACACACACACGTACGTCATCTGGGCTCTAATTTAACTGTAGCAGATTCAGACTCAAAGTGGTGAAACAAAACAAACGTTACTGTCCTTCAAAAGACAATTGACCACCTCTTATTTACTCCTGCATTTCATGCAGCATGACCTCAGTAGACTAATAAAGTCATCATACTCTAAAAACATGCAAATAAGTTTATTGTTGTAATACCTTAGTATGGAGTGGGAAAGAAGACAGCACGTACAAAAGGCAGAAGATACAAAGAGAAAGCAGACCTTTTCTAAACTGGATTTCAACAGCACAGAGCTTTACTTGTCTGAACTATCATAGCTTATTCTGGAAATATGCCTATTTCTAAGCATCTTGTTGTAGGTAACTAAATTTAGAGAGCAATTTAAGGCCATGAAAAATCAGTTATTTTTGACTTGAGATTGAAAATCAAGACCCCTATGAAAGTGGTAGCTTGTATTGCTATATCTACTGTAACAAGTTCATTAAGTCTTGTACATCTACAGTGTGTAGGATGCTAAGGACACAACTATGAGTGAGTCTCTGCTTATGATGTGGTACGAAAGACAGGAAGAAACAACTTCAATAAAATCTGCCATGTTAAAAGAATCATGTACAGTATGCTATATAAAAAACAAAGGAGTATTTAACCAACCAGGGACTCAGGAAAGACCTCCCAGAGAAGTAAAACTGAGCAAAGCCTTAAGCCAGGTTCCACTCAACTTTCAACTGCCACGTATTTATCCTCTAACAGGTTCATTGTTTGCTTTACCTATCCTAAGACACAAGTAAGAAGATATTTTCATTGCTAATAGTCTTTTGACTTCCTGGCTCTGAATGGACTTAAAAGGCACACCCTTTATGTAAAAAGTTCACAAGGTAGATATCTATTTACAGGATGTATATTTGCATATATGTTCTAAAATATAATTCTCCAAATAGGAAAATCTCTCAATATAACTAATCAAATACTCCAAAATGAAATAAGCAAACTCAGACTCATTTTTCAATTATCCAATCCCTTTTCCTCTACCACAGCAAAATATCAGTACATCTTAAGACAAGTAACCTTTCTATTTTACCTGGGATAGTATTAAAATTACTTTCACTAAGAACATGATAATTTATAGAAATAACTAAAATTTGAGGGCTTACTCCATGCCAAGAGCTTTTCTAAGTTCTTTACAACCAATTATTTAGCCCTTATGGACATCCTGTGAATTAGGTACGATTATCTTCTCATCTGAAGGTGCAGACGCTGTACCACAAAAGGTCACAAAATTTGCTCAAGGTTATAGTGCTGGCACATAGCACTAGCAAGGCATGACCCTGGGCAGAATGGCTCCGTGCTCTTACTCATGATCTTATAATGACTTCCCAGTTGATAAAATAATACAGAGAAAGGTATGTATGGTTAGTTATAGGGCAAATTCCTATCCTAAATCCATTAAAAGTATTCACAGAGTGACTATGTAGTATATTAGTTAACTTACACTTTAATACAGAAAAAAAAATCAAATCACATTGCCATAAAACCAGTTTCTCCCTATTGTCTAGACACCCTGTGGCGCAGAGACTGCCAGTTGTACATTAACCCCTGTACATGTCAATAACAGAAACCCCAAATCCTACCAAGGTGCAGGGCTGCCCAGGGTAAAAAAAAACTAAATTTCCCAGCCTCCCTTGTAGTTACAGTGTGCCCATGGGAGTAAGACCTAGCCAATGGGATGTAAAATAAAGCTGGTGTGTGCAGTTTCTGGCAAGTATCCCTAAAAGGGAAGACCTTCCCTTCCTTTCCTTTTCTGCCTGCTGGAATGCAGATTTGATGGCTAACCTGAATCAGCCATATTATATTATGAGGCCACAGCCAGGTGCTAAGGACAGCAGAACAAAAAGACAGGTGCCTAGATGCATGAATATCACCACACCACTTCTAGGGGTGTTATATTTTTGTAATAGAAAAAAAAATATCTTGTTTAAGCTGCTTATGTGTTTTCTGTTGTCCCAGAAGAACCTAACCTTACAAAATAAAGCCCTCTAGTCTAAATTTGTGCAAACTGAATTTTAGGTAACCAGGTTATTATTTATTATTGTGAAAATATGATATAATAATTTCATGATGGTTTTAATATATCTATAATTAATGGGTATCTCCTACTCTTGGCACTTCTTTTACATTGATACTATGCAATTTAAAAATAGATAATTTTGAAAAACGTATTTATTCTTAGGTGTCAGTAAATAACTAGAGAACATACAGCATCTTAAAATTTGTCTTATTAGTCTCTTATGATTTTAGTTATCTGTATAATACATATATATAAGAGGCAATTCATGTCGGCCATTTTAAATGTATATTCAAGCAGCAAAAAACAGAAATTTGATGACTGCATCCAACTTATCACTTATATAGATGAATTACCAATTACTAAAATAGAAAGCAAAACGGTATTTAAAGACATGCAGTAACTTAAGCTAGCATTAAAGACTATTTCATATATATTTAAGTTGTTTCTCCAAATTACCTACTTACTCTGAATAAAAAGAACTTATAAAATAGAGATGATAAAATAATGACACTTATGTCACTTCTCTTTGGATTTAAACATACTTTTACAATTGCGGAAATGTGAATCAGAAAGGATAAAATGAAGCAATCACTTTCTTAACATCTGTTAATGTTTGTGTAGGCTCAAGTTGAAAGCCTCCAGTAAAAAGTAAGCTCTAGTACCCCATTTGCTAAAGCATCATATTTCCCTTCCCAGATACCATACACTCTTGGTTTGCTCTCACTAGCTACTCCTGAAATGCTCTTTCCTATGTCTCCCTCCTCAACTTTTAAATGGTGAGGCCCCAGTATTCACTCCTGGGACTTCTCTTTCTATACCACCCCCCTACATGCTGTTATCTACTACCAAAGCTTCATACATCATCTCTAAGCAGGTGACTCCCACATTTATACTTCCAACTGCAACCTCTCGCCCCATACTTCCCCAGAGTAGCATAGAACACAGTCTTCCTTTCATATGGATGCTCATCCCCAAACCCTGGGTTACCTCTACACTTTATTCTGTGTAATCTGTGTACAAATCAGTCAACAATTCCTGACTGCTCTATTATAAACACAGAGCTAGATTTGACTGCTCTTCATCAGCTCCTTCTTGGTTTCCTGAGCGCAAGCCATCCCCATCTCTTCACAGAGTACTAGAATAACCTGATAGTCTAGTCTCCATTCAGCAGCCCGCGTGATCCTTTCAAAATCTAAATCAGTTCGTGTTCTTCTATTGCTTAAAATCCTCCCACGCTGGCCGCTCATCCTCTAACCATTCTAACCATGCTGGCCTCTTTGCTATTACTCAAACCTGGGCGTATTCCCATTTCAGGATCGATTTCCTCTTCTATTTAAAATGCATTTGCCCAGATATGACCAAAGCTTGTACCTCTCGCTTCATTCAGGTGTTTTAAGAGATGCCATCAGAGAACATTCTAAAATAGCAGCTTCTTTCTTTCTCTATCTCCTTGACACTATATTTTTTTCTTCATAGCACTGGTTCTTTTTGTCTCTATCCTTCCTTAAAACAGAAGATCCATGAGGAGAGGACTTGTCTTTTTTATTCTCTACCGTATCTCTAGCATCTAAAACAGAGCCTAGTACATAACAGGCCCCTAAGTATTTGCTAAATGGATGAATGAAATATCTCATTGTATTATGTGACCCTTGAACTCAATTGAAAGC